AAAAAATAAATGCAACACGTCCAAAACTTAACACGTCTTCCACCATAACCTCTTTCTCTTGCAGTCTTCTGCATTTCAGTGAAGGGCAACTACATCTGTCCAGGTGCTGAGGCCAGAAACTTCAGAGTCATTCCTGACTCCGCTTTTATATACCACATCCACTGCATCAGCAAATCCCTTCTGCCATACCTCCAGTATGTGTCTAGAATCCTACGTCCACTGCGACCACCCTGGTCCAGGCCACCATTATCTCTCACCTGCATTGTTCCAATGGCCGCCTAACTTCTCCGCCTCCTGCTTTGCTCCCATCCCAGTCTATTCTCAATACAGCAGTAAGAATCTTTTAAAACATTAAATCAGGTCTTATCCTCCCTGTGTTCAAAACCCTCCTATTGTTTCTCCATCTCAGAGTAAAAACACCAATTAGCTACCAGTGAGCTCTTGGAACTGATATCCTGTTAGTGTCTCCCTCCCTCTCTCAGCTCTAGTCACACATGCTTTCTTGCCCTTCCTTGAAGACAGTAGGGCCTTTGGACTTGCTGTTTGCTCAACCTGAGATGTTTTCCACGGATGAACCACAAGACAGGCTCCTTTACCTCTTCAGGTGTTTGCTTAAAAGTCACCTTCTCACAAGAGAATGACAAATATCATATGATATTGCTTATATGTAGAATCTAAAAGAATGATACAAATGAAGTTATTTACAAAACAGAAATAGACTCACAGATGTAGAAAACAGACTTATGGTTACCAAAGGGGAAAGGAGGGAGCGATAAATTAGGAATTTGGGACTAAAATATACACACTACTGTATATAAAATAGGTAACCAACAAGGGCCTACTATATAGCAGAGGGAACTATACTCAATATCTTGTAATAACCTATAATGGAGGAGAATGTAAAAAAGGAATATATTTGTATATTTATGTATAATTGAATCACTTTGCTATACATTTGAAACTAGCACAGCATTGTAAATCAACTATATTTCAATAAAAATTTTAAAAATAAACAACATTGATTACATTTTTTTTAAAAAGGTCACCTTCTCAGTGAGGTCTTCTCTGATCACACTACTTAAAATCACCCTCTACGTCTGCTCCAGCCTTACCTATCCCCCTGCTTTGCTTTGTTTTTCTCCAAAGCACTTAGGACAGTTGGATGGATGGATGCACAGGTCTCTGTGTGTGTATACATATCTGTCCCTCTCCTGTAGAAGAATCTAGGAGGATGGGCGATTTTGTTTGCAGCTAGAAAAATACCTAGAAAAAATGGTTGTCCTATTTTAGGTGATTAATAAGTAGTTGTTGAATTAATGAATAAGGATTCTGAAGTGTAAATGTACCAAGAGAAACAAAAGAATCTAAAAGCAGTGCCATGGTTTGTACCCTAAAAGGTGTATAATATCAATATGTTCTATTTGATTATACATTTTAAAAAGATAAATATAGGGGTTTTTTTAAAGCAAAGTCTATTTGTTTCAGTAAGAAAGCAGTCTTTTTAATTAAATCAGAAATTTCAAATTAGAGCTGGTAGAAACCACTTCAAAGCACAGCCTGACAGGAATGTAACTAAAAAAGGAAAGAAAGAAAAGTTGAGTATGTATAAACATCATCTTAGCTGAAAGTCGGTGCCCATGTGGAAAATCAGTAAAAGGAAAGAAGAGAGGGCACCTTGTTTTTCTCCAGTGCCTCTTGTATTGGAAGAGAAGTCGTTGTCTATTTCAATTTGATCTTTCTTCATTTGGTGGGGGGAAAGTAAAATTGTTTTTAGTTTTCTCCATATTAATATAAAGATTAAAGCACCGTTTGGTTGCATCTGACAAGACGGCATCTTAATTTCATGTATCAGATCTTGATAACCTTTCTGAATCATAAAAAAAATAGCATACAGCATCCTTGTTTTTATAAATTTCATATTATAATTATTTGAAAAATGGGTAATCCTTATATTGTGTCTAATACCGGTTCCTTGGGTATTCCAGAGACTAGTAAAAGAAAATTTTACAAAATATTGTAGCAGCACCTTCTGCTTTTGTTTTTGCTACCATCGCAATCACCATTATTTCATAAAAGAAAGGACACTTTGACACTTTTAAAAATAGGAAAGATAATCTTAGGGTAAAAGACAGTCTTATTGTCCTTACCTTTATCAATTTGCCGTGGACTTCAGTTTGTGCTGCCAGAGTGTACAGCCCAGAATTGGGAACGGTTGATCTGTAATATGATTATTGACATTTAACAAGGATAGACTATTGAATATACAAATTTAGCTAGAATACCTAGAAAAGAATACCTAGTGACTGGAGGCTTTGGAGGACACTATCTGGTTTCCAAAACAGTAATAACTCAAAAACAATTTTTAAAAAAATTATTTTATTTATTTATTTTTGGCTGCATTGGGTCTTTGTTGCGGTACGCAGGGGCTACTCTTCTTTGCGGTGCGCGGGCTTCTCATTGTGGTGGCTTCTCGTTGCGGAGCATGGGCTCTAGGCGTGTGGGCTTCAGTAGTTGTGGCACATGGGCTCAGTAGTTGTGGCTCGCAGGCTTTAGAGCACAGGCTCAGTAGTTGTGGCGCACAGGCTTAGTTGCTTCGCAGCACATGGGATCTTCCTGGACCAGGGCTCGAACACATGTCCCCTGCCCTGGCAGGCGGATCCTCAACCACTGCGCCACCAGGGAAGTCTCTCAAAAACAGTTTTTGTTTGTTTGTTTGTTTGTTTTAGTCATAGATAGGTAAGCTTTATTCCAACGTCTACATAAAAATGAGTTGATGTCAAACAGGAAACGGTTTTTCCAAAGGGTTAAAGTCTATCACACAACAGAACTTGGTCCTTTTCCCTTTAGTTTGTCTCTCAGTTCAGTTGGCTGATGCATCATTATTCGTGTCTGCCCTCACTAATCATTTTCACCACACACAATATCTAAAAGTCTTCGGGTGGTACTTCCCATTTCTCTGGAGATCTCTTAAGCTGTTTTCAGTTACAAGAGATGGGCAAGGTTTTTATCTGTTCTCACTCTACTCCACCGGAGCCAAAAACACATCCCTGAATTCTCTTGTTCAAATTGTGGCTGTTGGCAAAGCATTCAAATGAAGAACTTAATGCTAACGCACAAAGGACACAGTATAATCTCTGTATAATAGTGACTTCGCTTCAACCTTTTCTCATTAAAGAATTATTTTTATTATCTCTCCACAAGGGAGTTATAAAAAATACCTGTAAGAACATTGAAAAGGCTCTTAAAAGTCCTGGAATGAAAAATTCTGCAGTATAAATTACGATACATCGTCTATGACTTGCAAATAAGAATAAATTCTACAAGCTAGAATTTCTGAATGATTTTGATAGGAATTTACCAGAAGGAGCCAGAACATCAAACCTTAACGATTTCCTGTTTTCATCCCAATTGAGTTTTTCAAAAGCTGTATAATCTGTTGACAGGCACAATCCACACAGGAACTTGCTGCTGCCACTGATGATGAAATCAATCTGAAGGACAGAGATTTGTATGCTGGACGCGCCAGGCTCTTCCATGCAACTGGTTGAAGTGGTCTTCTCTTATTTTTTTCCCTTATGTTTTAAATAAAAGTAAATATACATATGGTAAAAAATTTAAATGGTACAGAAAGATCTAAAATAATCAGTAAATATCCTTTTCTCTCATAACCTAGAAAATCTGGTGTCTTCCAAATCATCAGGCGTATGAATAATTTGCAAAGCGAAGTCAAACTTGGAGTCTCTTCATCTGAAAATTATTCTCAGGACTTTTGGAATGTGTTGATTCTGTCATGTATTACCTCTGTTACAGAGGAAAGCCATGCAGTCTTATTCTTCTTTAAAAAAACCTAATTACAAAAGCAACACACACGCTCTGCTCAGAGACAGCAAGTCCAGGCAGCACCTTGTACTCCGTGGATCTGGCCCTAGTTACGGGCAGAGTCCCTGGTATCATCCAGAGTCATGGGCGGCAGGAGCTCAGCCAAGCCCTTCCTGATGCCTCGGATCCTCCTGGCCAGCGGCACATCCTTCGGGAACAGAGTGACACGGCCGGCATGTAAGGAGAGGAGATAGGCATCCTCAAAGAGACGAAATAGAAACGCTTCTGCTGCCTCTTGTAGGGCCAGCAGGGCCTGGGTTTCCCAATTGAAGTCCACACCACGAGTGAATTTAACACGTATTTCTCTTGCCAGGCGGCAGAAGGGGTTCTTCCTTTAACAACAGGTGTGTGCTCTTCTGAAGAGTTCGGATCTCCTTCAGAACCCGATGTCTCCGGCGAGCAAGTTGACGGGAGGAAGTGCCTAAGGATGGGCCCGGCCGGAGTGGGGTGGCGGGGGCGGGCGGCGGGAGCCGGGCTCGCGGCGCGCCTCCTTGGGGCTTCAGGCTTGCGGATCCGGCGGCGCGGGCCCATGGTTGGAGCTCGGGGTTGCGGACCGCGGCTCCTTCTCGGCCTTCCGGGTCCAGCGGCAGAGGCTGGCGTCCAGGGTCAAAAACAGTTTTTAAGGAAAAGCTAAAACAGTTTTAGAAATAAGCGAAATTAGCCTTAGTCTCCTTTTAATATTCCCATATTTTTATTGCATAATAAGAGCTAGCTTTTATTGAGTGCTTATTATTTGCCGCACACTGTGCTAAGTACTTTTTACATGGATTGTCTAATTTAATTCTAACAATACCGTGAGATAGAATATTAGTATTGAAGTTATTTTGGTTGGATCCATTTTCTTCATGAAATAACCTACTTTATCACAGAATTATAAATCTTGGGTGACCATTATATAAATGCTGTGGCAGCCTTTTACTAAAACTGATCAAAATGAATGTGGACTAACAATATTTTAAGTCGTATGAAATCTTGCTAACTAATCTTGGCTCTGCCGCAGCTGTGGTACCATTATGTTTGACCCCTTCCATCCAGGCTTCCAGGCATTTCAGTTATAAATAATTCATATGGGCAAGAAATTTTAGGTATTGAGGGATTTTTAAAAGATATATATATATATATATATATATATATATACACACACATATATATATATATATATGATAGGGTGTCTGCTTGCAAGGAGTACTGTTATCTAGTTGGGTAAAGAAGACATGCTTGTGAAAGAAAAGCTCATGATTTTAAGACAAAATTGTGTCGAAACATATAGAACAGGAGTCTGCAAACAACAGCCTGTGGGCCATGTTGAGGCCACTGCCTGTTTTTGTATAGCTAAGAATGTTTTTTATATTTTAAAAATTATAAAACAAAACAAAAATCAAGAAAAGAATATGCAGCAGAGACTCTGTGGCCCGTATGAAGCCTAAAACATTTACTCTCTGGCACTTTACAGGAAAAGTTTGCCAACTTCTACTATCCAAGATGAGCATCATTAGGAGACCGTGTCTAAAGGGACAGCAGCATTCGTAATGTAAACCGTTTTCCCCACCACGCAACAACTTGCTGTGTATTCTCTACAACACCCATGACGGGGCCAAACACATAGCAGGCAGGTCAGAGTGAAGAAAATCTGTTGACTTGAATTAAATTTGTTGTTTGCAGTTGTCTAGACTTGGAGCAGTGTTGTCTTAAGGTCCTGGAGCCTGAAGGCAGCCCGAGCCTGTGTTTACTGAAGCTGCTGGGTGAGAAAGGCTGTACGGTGGTGGAGCTGAGCGACTTCCTGCAGACAATGGAGCACACTGAGGTCCTTCAGCTCCTCAACCCCCCAGGTACGTGCTTCCCGGGGGCACGTTCTCCAGGAGTTCATGGAGACAGACTCAGAGGAAAATATCTCATTTGACCAAATGAATTGTGTTAAGTATTTTTGAAACATGTGAACATATGGAGCCTCGTTTTCCCCCCCAGGTTGAGACTAAAGAACACATAAAAAGCAAATACAGTGTATAAACATTTGTTGGATTGTTTTTCAAAAAAAACAGCTATAGAAGACATTTTGGGGACAATTGGAATAACTTGAGTGTAACCTGCATATTAGACATTAGGGAATCACCGTGTGATGATGGTGCTGTACTTCTATAGAAGAATGTCTTTATTCCAAGGAAGTGCATGTGAAAGTGTTGAGGGGAAAGGTTTCTATAACTTATGTTAAAATAGTGCAGCCAAGAAAGTAAATACACACATTTATTTATGTATATGAATGAGAGAAAGTGTAACAAATGTTTATTGTTGAAGTTTTTTGCCAACATGGTGCTTTTGAAATGTTGAGTAACTCAACCACATGATTTTTTTTTTCCTGAATATACCAATATTGTGAGGTTGCTCACTTCCAAGGTCAGATTTGAGGAACAGGAAACAGTCCCACCTTTCCACAACTGTGGATGGAGTTGGTCAGTTACCATGACGTCAGCAGGAGGGACCATGTCATCCAAGTCACGTGATGGCAGCGGCGCTGCAGACCTTCTTTCTTGGGGGCTTGGGGAATTAGAGACACGTCTTGTAGTGATGTACTGACAAGTACACGTAGCAGAAACCCCAACTCAAGTTGGTGTAATAAAGGGAGCATGCTGGTTCCAACAGAAAAGTCTTGAAGCAGGTTGGGCTTCGAGAAAGGCAGGGGGCAGCCCTGTTTCCAAGGAGTTGGATTTTGTCTTTGCTCTTCCTTTCTTGTCATTGGCTTCCTCCCAAGGCTGACTTTCTGCCTAGTCATGGGATGTCTACTAGCTGTTCCTTGCATTAATCTTCGTCTCAGCAAAAAGCGTAGGATTCCCTAATAAGCTAACTAATTTTGGCCCCGTGCCTGTCCCTGTACCTGTCACCAGCCAGGGAGTTGGAATGTGCCAGTTCCCCTGGCTTAGAGCCAGGAGTGGAGTGGGTTCAGTTAGCTTTCCAGAAACCTCATGGATCGCCAAACAAAATTGGATGCTGGGCGTGTGAGGGGGAGCACCTGAAAAGTCTACTACAAATGGAAGGGACCCTGGATTGTGAGCCAGGAAATCTGGACTCTCAGGTTATCCCTGGCTCTACCAGGCCTAGTGTAGATGAGGAAGACCACGGAGGCTGCACACACATCTCATGATCTGTGGTGTGATCACTGGCCTGAGATCAAAGGTTTCCAAGTTTTCACAGTTTCCCATGTATGAAACTGAGCTTAACTGAAATTGAGTCACATGTTTATTTGTGTGTAATGATGCGCCTGGAATTTTTAGCAGTATTCTCTGTTTTGACGTGATAGGCCAGCAGCGAATACAGTGCCATCCTGATAAACATCAGTCATCTTC